TTTTGCAATGTATGGACCGGCCGATGTCTTACCACACAATGGAGGCCTTAATCAGGGGAGAATTCCAGAATCCACACAATGAAGGCCTTAATCAGGAGAGAATTCATGTTACCAACGAACTCAAAGCTCGAACAAAGGAGAAACAGTGGACAGTGGAAACAAAGGGGAAACAGTGGACAGTGGCACTCTCCGATTGCAACGAACTTAAAGTTCGAACAAAGGAAAAACAGTGGAGAGTGGCACTCTACCACATAGAGGAGAAATAGTGGACAGTGGCACTCTCCGACATACCCGGCTGGCGAGAATCGAAGCCGTTGCTGAGTTTAGACTACGTATCGGACAGTCCACACAATGAAGGCCTTAATCAGGAGAGAATTCATGTAATGAAGGCCTTAATCAGGAGAGAATTCCAGACCATACAACAAACTCAAAGCTCGAACAAAAGAGAAACAGTGGACAGTGGCACTCTCCGACATAGCCGACTAGCCAAGAATCAGAAACAGTGGACAGTGGCACTCTTCGATATAGCAAATGAGAAACAGTGGACAGTGGCACTCTCCGATATACCCGACTGGCCAAGAATCGAAGCCGTTGCTGAGTTTAGACTATGCGCCGGACACGATTGATTGGCAAAACACCTTCACAGAATGGGAGTATACATTCAACCCACATGCCCCCTATGTAACCTACAGGAGGAAATGGAGAAGACCCACCTGATTCGATGTCCAGCCCCAAAGAAAAGGACGGGAAGCCAGAGATACTGGGAAGCAAGAAGACAGCTAATGAACTGCTATTAATTAACTGCTATACATATACCCCCCACCCATGAGGGAAGCTGAAGTCAAAGTTTAAGGGCTAATGATAAATATCATAAAGCCTGCCATTTGAAATAAATAAATATTAATCTATAGGACCTAAATGTGATAGTTTTTTAAGTAAAAATGCGCCCTATTAATGTGCGATGGGTGTGAGGTTCAGAAGGTGGCTGAGACACCACCGTAAACACTTTTTTTGGAAACTAATAAAAATTTAATCATGAGCTTTCGACAGATTTGTTTAATTAGAGGCATAGTATCTATGGCCACTGGATGATATAATTGTGTTAATTATGGATATCTATCTAATGTGCTCTATCGAAATTCCATTTATTTTCTTGCATTTGAAATCAAGTTTTAATTTTGCATCGTGGGGGTGTGCGATAGACTTACCTCCACGTGGTGCACCCTGGGCCACGTATACTAATACGGCAAAAAAGTCTATTAACTGGCAGTTGACTTCTCACTTCAAACTACCATCACCCCATTGTCTGTCATATTAGACTACTTCCACAGTACTCACCTCACCTTTTTTTCTACCTTTGTGTCTGTCTCTTTCGCATATGTGAATCCTTCTTCTGTTCCCCCCCCCCCCATTCGAATTTTTCCCACTTTGATGTTCCTCCTCCTCTCTGTGAATCCCGAAGCCAGCTAATGGGCCAATGATAACTATCAAAACACCTGCTATTTGATATAAATAAATAAAGATTTGACATCGTAAGGAAGCCTTGAAAATCGAAGAAAATCTATATTACCTACTATACGAGGGTTGGGTAAATCGAGAAAATGGAGGCATAACTGTAAAATTTCACCCATCAATCATGATTTCCTAATGCATATTGCAAAGTATTTTAATACTATTTTTTTAAATTTGAAGTATGGGATCTGTCTCCCATTAGCTGAATGCGTTCACCTTAGTAGAAATCAATATTCATTGGTAAATTGATCAATTCGGTTACTTGGTCAGCCTCTCGAGATATATTTTATTCGATTGACTAAAATTCAGCCGCAGAGCTCACTAGAACTATTTCAATATGAACGTGAACAATGACTGTAAGTACCTTGCCCATCAAACGACACGAGTTCTAAAGCTGTGAACCGCGTTCACCCGCCATACGATCACTATTAAGGAAGATAAATGGTTGACTTCTCTCAGAATCAATATTCTTTGAAGTTCAATCTTAAGGTAAACTGAAAGAATCCACTATTATTGTATCTGTTGAATTATAAACTTTTTTTGAAGAGTTATTTATATAAGTTATCATTAGCCTCTTAGTTGACTTCGGGGCTTCACAGAGAGAAGAAGGAACATCAAAGTGACAAAAAGTCGAGAGGGGGAACAGAAGAATGTTTCAAAGATGCAAAAGAGACAGACACAAAGGTAGAAAAAATGTGAGGTGAGTACTGTGGAAGTAATCAAATATGACATACAGTGGGTGATAGTAATTAGAAGCCAGAAGTCAACTGCCGGTTAATTGACTTTTTTGTCGTACAAGTATACGTTGCCCAGGGTGCACCACGTGGAGGTAAGTCTATCGCATACCCCCTTTTGTTGAATATAACTGCCAGTAGCTCAAGAAGATCTAATTCTATTGCTTAACTAAATCACTCCGTTAGATTAATTCAGTCTTTTTTAGCCCAACGGGGTCATAATCTGCAAACACAAGCTGCCTCTGTATGTTTTAATGTTCGGAATTCAAAACACCGTAGGTCGGATAGCAGTTTTAGTAACTTTCAAGCTGTCCGGGCCCACTTGCACCCACGCATGGACTTGAATGACAGATGACTTATGAACAACTGCATGAATTGGTAAAATTCAGCATGGGGCCCTGTTCGCCAGACACCAAACCTTCATTAAATTAATCGGAGCTTTTTCGATCGGTGGGTTTAATATTAACTAATTTGTATACATGCTCCAATACTCACTTTTCAAAGTTTTTCTTCTGGGTGAATTCATTTTTGCAATCACTAGACCTCGTTTATCGTTTGATTAACATTATGGTACTGGAGAGTTTTAATTATATTTACTGAATCTTAATACTCCCGTAATTGCACCAACAGGGCAAATAAACCGCCCAACTTATCTAAATTTACTTTATTTTACTCGCTGTCTCCACCGATTCCCATTCCCACTACATCCTCTCTCATTTACTTCTCATTTATCCAAAAGCTTCGGTGTCCCAGAAGCTGTTAGGAAAACCATTCGATCTATTCGGGGGAAATCCTGCTCGATTTGATGAAACGTTTTAATCTTTGTTACTGCCTAGATCAGTGATGTTCCACTATAAGCTGAATGATCTCAGATAATACGATTTTAGCACATGAGAGCTCATTTAGTTTACTGATGGTTGACTCAAATATGCCCATTCAATTATTATTAAATTGTACGAATATTCCCCTTTCTTCTCTCTTCAACCCCTCCTTGACTAAATTATCTTCCCAATTTTAAACAGAGGCAATATTTCCATTGTTAGCAATACCAATGAAAGGAGATATATTGAAGTATTCCACTGTAATAGTATTAGTTCGTTGGGCATTCTTTTGATGAGAAATTTCAATGAGTACATGCAAAGTGCTACATATATCCAATAGCTGTATTTACAGGAACTAATAGATACTATTACATCTTGGAAAGAAGCTTAAAAGAAGAACAAAAACTTTCAAAATGAGTAGCCGTTGGATGATCAGTGCTGTCAACATCATCCTGGCAAAAGGGGTCTATGCGCTGCATGTCCCAATGCTCTTATGCACGCTCACACACAACCGCACGTTCGTTACCGCGGCAACGATCTCACGCGCGACATACGTGTACAACACACAAGGCCCTGAAATTGCCTGCTTTTCTTCCGTTTGCGGCCAATCCTGTGCTAGCATTATGTATTGAACGCTTTTGGGTTGGCCAATAAACGATTAAGTAGAGATTGCACCTCTGCACTTCAGCCATTTCATGCGGCCGTCCCGAAGTGCGTGAGTGTTATTGCAAATGAATCGTTGACCAATCAGCTCGGAGTTGTAAAGAGTGGGGAGAATTCTGTATTTCCTAACTTAAGGCAAAAACTGACGTGTGCGTAATAAGAGGACGAGAACGGAATAGAGTGTGTGTGTGCGTGTGCAAGTGTGTGAGTGTGTACATTCTGACGAAAAACACGAGTTTGAAAGAGTGGCTAACTCATTCATCGATTTACTGCTTAACTCACCTATCCTTTCGGATTTATCTTCCATACTTTCTTTTCCTTCAATTCCGACTTTTGTCGTGGCCTTCTTTTCCCAATCTCCTTAGACATCATGGGATGTACGCTGTCGAAGGAGGAACGCGACGCTTTAGAACAGAGTCGCAATATTGACAAAAAACTCAAGGAAGATGGGATGCAGGCTGCTAAGGATGTTAAACTCTTGCTCCTTGGTACGTCGGTTACAAATATTAAACTTCCTGATTGCATCGTGCTTATTAAAACAAGTCGTTTGGTTTTAGTAATGCGATAGAAATTACATCAGCTACAGTTAAACTTTGAATAATATAGCAAATCGATTTCTTAAGTATATATTCACTGTGGACATAGGCCAGTTCACAAGTAATCCAATAGGTTAATTAGTCAATTACGCAATGCATCAAGTCGATCGTTGGTTACATTATGACTAATCTTCTAGGATTCTATATTGACCAACTTTAATTGTTACCGTTACTGTTGATTTAACAGATTAACTAATTCTATTAAATTGACGCCTCATTATTAACTAATTAAGATTGCGATTTCCAAACAATATTGTTATTTTAACCAATTTAGGAGCCAATCACTTTCGGGCAAATATCGTGTAGCAACTTTCTAAACTAGTCAAGAGGTGGAGTAAGAACTTAAAGCGCAAAATTTTCACCTTTGTGTGTCTGATGTGAACCATCGATAATTTTTCCTTCAAGTTTTGACAACGTGTTTGCATAGGTAAGCAGAAGGAGGCAAGATTTTCAGGACTTGTTATGCTAGAGAGTGACTTAGCAATTTCCTATCCCCCAAGGTGGGCAAATAAACCACCCAGGTTTTTTTGATTGCATTTCGATAGCGATTTTGCAAAACAGTTTGGTGGAACTAGTCGACCACATATTTGAAATGCACTGTTTTTGACCTATTTATTTCGCATTAATGTTCATTTAAATACATTAACATTTCACTTCAAAAGCAAACTTAATTAGTTTTTAATACTGAGGCTTAGTAAACGGGAGGCAATTCGAAAAATCGAAAGCCATAAATACCCGCTTTCTCTTCAAATCTAACGTGGAAAATCAACGGAGAAACTTATTTTCAGCTTACCCACTAAATAACAGTTGTGTGTGTCTTTCCTTTAGATTTAAATTAAGCGCCTGTTATTAGTTTGGTTGGTTAGAAATAAAATTGGAATTGGTATCCCCGAAAGCGACCTCATATTTCATTTGCTTACGTCATTGTGCCCGATGCTAATTCAACACCTGAATAAGTTAGGAATATTTAGCGGTTTGTTGTCATCTCATTTCTGCGCAGTCATCTCTGTGAGGCAAAGAAAAGCGAATGATATTTCAGGCAAACACATAGAGAAATCGATTTCAGATATCCCTGAATTCCCGATTGTAATTATTCTATGATAATAATAATTATTATTATTGATCTATACTTATTAATTATTCTATAATTAATCAATAATTAGGTTTAACAAGTTATTGATTGGCTGATTGCGGTTAAAATAATCAATAATCCATAATTTCTCTCCCAATTTCAGGCGCTGGTGAATCAGGCAAAAGTACTATAGTGAAACAAATGAAGTAAGTGATTTTTTCCCACCATATCTCATATGACTTTCTCAAAAGGAGATTAACCAAATAATTTGACCTCATTTGGGGACATTTTTAAACATGTAAACACTGCGGATCTAAGAGCCTGGTTTAACAAAGTGGTTTCAAGGCTCATTCGGGGTTGGGCAGAAAGAGTAAGCTGGTAGTCCGTATGGGAGTTAACTTGAACGTGTGTTAGCGTCATAGATCAGGCGCGCGGGTGTTACCACGGCGAGGAGAGTTAGAGGACATGGGATTAAAAAATAGGACCAACGCCAACCAATTAGGAAGTGAGAAAGGAGGCATGCACGCACGCACGCTTTGCATTAAATGCATTCTCTTCCCTTAGAGTGGGTAGTGATGTGGGACTTGCATCCCGAAATGGAATTCCATCCACTCATCCCAAATACCTATTGTGATTTACTGCACATTCTTTATTCTGCCTGTTAAGTAGGGGCGAAGAAACAGACTCGTGATTCAACTTTTATCCGGAATTTGTAAAGATCATCATTGATCGGTGAAAAACTAACATTGGAGATGGAAGATAAAGGTGTTCTCTTTACATTTTGATCTTAGATTAAATCTACTGTAATAAGTCCAGTGACAGTTAAAGATAATTGTATCTTACCATTTAAATTGTTGGGAGAATTCATTTTTAGGGTTTGTCTCCATTAAACCTAAAAACATTAATGAGATTCTATCTACAGCCATGTAGCTATTAATTAGGTACAATTTTATCTCGAGTCAAAATTAATCAGCCAAATAGCTTTTTGAGAACAAAGTAAATTATTGTAGATGAAGAGGGCTGCGGTGGAAGGAATCGTAAACGTTTTAAACTCATTACAATTCAACGAACAGCTCATCTCTTTTAATCCTATCAACAACGCTTAATCTTTTGCCATTTTCGAGTGGATTGGAGCAATCGTTCCATTGGCATGTTGAATATTTGAAAATTGAGCAATCAAGCGTAAATTTATATGCAAATCACACTCTCCAATTACAACCTACATGTTATTTTATCCACCTAACTTATAACCAAAGTTCCGATTAAATCATCGCAACATTTTCAAGAAATGAGAGTTTGATGTGTGGAGGCCCTTCGTAGACGTCTCCGATTCGCGTCTCCCCTCCCACTCAATGGAAATTATATTGAATACAGTGATTAATGAATATTATTTCCTTGTTTATTTCTGTCCAAAGTATATCTTCTCAACGCGCCACATTCAAGTGAAATTGGTATAAATTACCAATAGTGTTTCCATAGTTGAGCCTAGTGATGAATGTGCGGATAAATATTGAACGTGCGAATTCTGGATTCGTTGTACTTTCAATGCAAATGATTGGTCTACTCAGTTTATATGATTAGCTACAGTATATTAAATAGAACAATAAGGATTGTTTATGCTTTACAGCGCTTTGCAGATTTACCTATCAGATCGATAACTGAAGGTCAGTCACTGCCGAATGGATTTAATTTGACCACCAATCAGAATATTTTTGGACATAAATAAGAAATCACCCTGAGGGTAAAGTATCCATTACTTGACGCTTCATATAATAATGACTCTAACTCAATTAGGCAGATAATTAGAACAAAGTCGCAATATTTTCCATCGCGCACACACTTCATATTAATCAATTAATTCTAAACTCTGCTCATTGTGGTATAAGTTTGTAGTTGAGGGAAAATATGCGGGCATAGACTAAAGGACCGTTACACTTCTTAAAGCGTCCTCTGGGGGGGGGGGGGGGAGTATGAAATGGTATTTCAGAAAAATGATTCCCTCATAAGGCGAATTTTTAATTCTCTCTTTACTATCACTGATTTTAGCTACCATATCATTACTTATTATCGAAATAACTTGACTGTTACTTTAACAAATTCGAAATCTGGAGTTAAGAAAGTTATCCATTTTCAGGTGTGGCAAGTTAAAAGCATGCAGGTGAAGCTACGAACAGAGGAATAATGATTGTTAGACAACTAAAGTTTAGAAGAGAGATATTCCAAATTCGTTTGTATTAGATACTACTTAATTCTCTTAATAGTAAATTTGATTTGCCCTTAAAATCGTTCCTCTTTTTCTCTCTGCTTCGTTATGTCATGTTGATTTAACCATTTTCTGCAATAGTGAGCAATATACGGTGTTTCTTGTGAAAGAAGTTGTTTAGGCAAGACAATAAACCTCAGATTCACCTGTATTAATTTCCATTCCACTCTACTTTAGGATTATTCATGAGGGTGGTTTCACGCAGGAAGATAACAAGCAGCATAAACCTGTTGTCTATAGTAATACCATCCAATCCATGGCCGCCATTCTACGTGCTATGAATACTCTGGGCATTCCGTTTGGCGATCCCATCCAATGCGTAAGTTCTGATTTGCCAAGCAATTCGATTGGTTGACCGAGATATTTTGTCTTCATCTAGCCCGAGGATGCAAGAGTGGTGAGTGATGTCATCCAAGCCATGCAAGATACAGAACCGTTCTCAGAAGAGCTTTTAGAGGCTATGAAACGCCTATGGGCCGATCCTGGGGTGCAACAATGCTTCGTCCGATCCAACGAATATCAGCTCAACGACTCTGCTAAATAGTAAATTTTTAATTCTCTTGTTGATTACTTTTTCTCCAGTTTCCTTGACGATATTGATCGACTGGGAGCGAAAGACTACCGTCCAACAGAACAAGATATCCTTCGAACACGTGTTAAGACTACTGGCATTGTGGAGGTTCACTTCCAGTTTAAGAATATGAACTTCAAGTAAGTCTTATTAAGATTGTCAATAATCATGTGTTAGCTACTAAAATGACTCTGAGTAGTATACGAAGTGCGTATGATTAGTCTTTTTCAAGACATGTTCGGGTTCATTAAAATAGTTAAAATTTGGGATGTAAAATGGAGATTTGTCGCACATTCCTGTATATATATACTTGCCTTTCTAGACTCTTTGACGTGGGGGGTCAGCGCTCGGAGCGAAAGAAGTGGATTCACTGTTTCGAGGATGTGACAGCAATCATTTTCTGCGTCGCCATGAGTGAATATGACCAGGTACTTCACGAGGACGAGACCACCAATCGAATGCAGGAGTCCCTCAAACTCTTCGATTCCATCTGCAATAACAAGTGGTTCACCGACACCAGCATAATTCTCTTCCTCAACAAGAAGGATCTCTTTGCTGAGAAAATCAAACGCTCGCCTCTCACTGTCTGCTTCCCAGAGTATCCTGGTGAGTTAAGGCCAAAGTAATGTTAGTATTATCTTTATATTACATCCAATTAGTAAAATTGGGTACTGGATCAAAAAAATTAGTGGATGATGTAGTGTTGAATTTATGTATACAGACTAATCACCTGTTAATCTGGATGCTCTAAATGTTTATTTCAATTTATCTGCCTTCATGACAGTGATGTTTAGTGAAATATTCACAGGAACCTTACGTTTTATTATGTCGTAATCAATTGAGATCAAGGATATCGATACAAATACCCTATTAGAATGGATTATCCAAATAGAAGGATTTCACTGGGTCCTGAACCTCGATGCCTAGGCATCAGAATGCCACCCAGTCTATTAAACTCGGAATGCACGATTGTTTTGATAATTTAAAATAATGGATTGGGGTTAGATATTGAAATATGTGATGGGGTTAGTGGATACAGTAAATCAAACATGAATTCGTGAAGCACTGTATTTCACACGGCCTTTCAAAGTACTTTCTAACGGAATTTACCAATCTTAAATATCAAATCTAAGGAATTCCAAGGTAATAGAATGGAATCTAGCTCTTACCATTTTCCATCAAATGGGATATCCAAATGCTGGCTTTGTTACTCAAGATTAGCTTGAATCCTTACTTGCATCATTGCACATGATCGATATCTATATATTTATATCAAATGGCAGGCGTTTTGATAGATATCATTAGCCATTTAGCTGACTTCGGGCTTCACAGAGAGAAGGTTCATCAAAGTAGCAGAAAATCGAGGGGTGGGGAACAGAAGAGCGATTGAGAGATGTAAAAGAGGCAGACAGGCACAAAGGTAGAGAAAAAGGTAAGGTGAGTACTGTGATAGGGGTCGAATATGACAACCAGGGGGGTCGTGGTAGTTTGAAGTGAGAGTCAACTGCTAGGTAATAGAATTTTTTGCCGTATGAATATACCTTGCCCAGGGTGCACCACGTAGAGGTAAGTCTATCGCACACCCCTCGATGTCTATATATAGTATAACACGTTGGAGTTACGAGACCCCCATTTGCCCTCAAGGCATGGCTTTATATCGATCGAAATAATGATTTGCTAATTCACAAGCACACGCAATTTTTTTTTAACTTTAGACAAGGCGTTTGAGCATATAATTGGTCAAAACCAATCTTTCAACTGCGCAATTACCTAAAGCTTTAGGCTCAGATTGACTCGCCAACATACTGGTTAAATTAATTATTATGAGTCAATAACCATAGCAAGATTACTATGAAGAATCTTTTATTGCCTAATCTACACAAAGATAATATTTCTGAAATGTTGCGCTTTTACCATTATTATGAGGGCCAGGTAACTCGTATTTGAAATGCCAATATTAACCTGAACGATCGATTTTGCTATCTGGCTCTAGGCCTATAATGCAGGTTGGCTAAGTTGGAAAAGTCTCCATGTGAATACGTAAGGACAGATTAATGTGATATTTTTATTTAAAAGTAGCGAATAAAGAATATTACATGTCCTCCGAATGTTCACACTGTAAAATAATATCTCCATTGCCTACAAGTTGTCTGTTTCAAAGTTGACTTGCCAACTTCATTAATTAGTTGGTTATGCCAGTAGAATTTTGCTTGTTTAACTAGCGTTATTTTAATAGTAGGTGTGTGTAGGTCCAATGATTCTCTGCGCTTCAACCAAATTCACCTTCACCGTTCAATGTGTGTTTGTTTAACTGCCAACGGAGACATAATCGCGAGACAGTAAAGTGTAGTTGTAAATTGGCGCGTTTAAGTAATGAATAGCCATCTGGGGCGGAGTGTCCTAGTGTTTGGAGTTAATTAGAAATGTCCCTTCTTTTAAACAAACACTACTACAACTCCAAAGGGGTTATGCTCATGTGCAGTTTCAGATACTTTTAAATTACTTAAACTGGAGAACGTATGGAGGGCTTTGGAAATTTTTTGCCCTTTGATAATAACCATGAAATTATAATGACGAATTGAAATGGAATTAATTTTTTATACGATTGACAGAATAGTTTTCGCACACCTCCTTCAAAAAAATTAATTGAACACTTTACCTAGATTGCCTCATTTCGCAATCTGTTCAAGAGTGCCTTATGTACCGAGTAACTAAAGAAAATGAAGTGGAAATTTTAACTTTCTTGATTCCTTAATGGCATCCTGAAATCGTCTTGAAACCCTATTCCAAAATGCCAGGAGGACTTTCAACATATTAAGAACACAAAATTGATTGCATATATAGGCACCACATTTTTAAAGTTGGATAAATGGTGGTTTTTTTTGGAAAAAAGGTGGATATTGTATAGACTTAGTTTATAAATTGATTCTGATGTTCGATATCCTTGTTCCTGGGGTTGAGATTCCTTTCCACCGGATGCAGTACTACCAAAAGGATCATATCGCTAAAATGAATGGTTTTTTTCTAGGAAAGCAAACTTACGAGGAAGCGGCAATCTATATTCAAGCTTCCTTCGAGGCTAAGAATCGATCTCAGAACAAGGAGATCTACTGTCACCAGACCTGTGCCACGGATACCAATAACATCCAATTCGTCTTCGATGCAGTGACCGATGTTATCATTGCGAACAATCTTCGAGGCTGTGGTCTTTATTAAATCTAATTAGCCACCAAAGTTTGTAGGTCACTTTCACAGTCCCTCCTAATGTCCATTCTTGATCTCAAACTCTCTTCCCCCTCCCCCCTCCTTCCTCCAAAACACTCACTCTGCAACCCAGACGCTGCGCGCCATGAAACGCTCTTAGCTTCGTGATGTTTCTCCCTCCAAACTTTCCGAACTCCTTCACCTCACGTACCTGCTAGTTCGAATTCGGCCTCCCTAAGTCTTATTTATCGAACACTCTTTTGTTCATTTGAAACTACCCCTCCCCCCTCCCCCCTCCCCCCCCTTACTCCTCTTTCTCCGCTTGAACCTCTTTACTCGTTTGAATGTGTCCGTTTGTGTTTAACTCGAAGCTGTTTGTGTGTCCGCCCAGTCTGAAATATTTCGAAGCCGCTTTAATATTCCCCATTCTCCATTCACCTTTCATCTTCCTTCAATCTCCATCCAATTTCCTCATCTTTCTCTATTTTATCGCCTTTCACTTTTCTTGCACCTGTTACGCGCCACCATCCCCTCCATCCCCCCCCCCTTTTAGTGTTCTCTTTTAATTCGCATACTCGCACCGTGGTGAATTGGTCCTTCCGCTACGCGCAAGCAGGTGCGTCGTACACTTCGCGAAACCTACCAACCCCCCCCCCCCNCTTCGCGAAACCTACCAACCCCCCCCCCTACCCTCCCCCTCCCCCCACGCCCTTCCTCCCACCCTTGCTTCGATGACGACGGTGATTTTGAATCAAGTTGAATGGGTGTTTGTATGTGTACGTGCGTGCGTGTGCGTGTGTGACACCACTTAATATGAAAATTAATTCTACGATTATTAATGGCTGAGATAATAATAATATTGATGTTGAGGTTGGTAATAAACGGCTGTAAGGCTTGTTCTTCGTCATGTCTCCTTTAAGAAAATGCAATAATGGATGAAGTGATATTTTTTCAAATGGCAGGCTTTATGATATTTATCATTAGCCCTTAAACTTTGACTTCAGCTTCCCCCAAGGTTGGAGGGGGGTATATTTATAGCAGTTAATTGATAGCAATTCATTAGCTGTCTTCTTGCTTCCCAGTATCTCTGGCTTTCCGTCCTTTTCTTTAGGCCAGGACATCGAATCAGGTGGGTCTTCTCCATTTCCTCCTGTAGGTTACATAGGGAGCATGTGGGTTGAGTGTATTCTCCCAATCTGTGAAGTTGTTTAGCCAAGCAATCGTGTCCGGTACGTAGTCTAAACTCAGCAACGGCTTCGATTCTTGGCCAGTCGGCTATATCGGAGAGTGCCACTGCCCACTGTTTCTAATTTGTTCGAGCTTTAAGTTCGTTGCACCTTGAGGTCTGGAATTCTCTTCTGATTAAGGCCTTCATTGTGTGCAAAGACATCGGCCGGTCCATGCATTGTGCGATAGACTTACCTCCACGTGGTGCACCCTGGACAACGTATCTTTGTACGACAAAAAGTCTATCACTCGGCATTTCGATTTGACTTCGATTTTGATTTGGAGTGATATAGATCTGTAAATAGGATATTCTAGTGTTTACATGAAGATTGAATAAAAAGAGCGGCACTGCCTTTTTGAAAGAAAAATTAATCATATTAAATAGCAGGCTTTATGATAGTTATCAATAGCGCTTTAGTTCACTTCTGGCTTCACAGAGGTGAGGTACATCAAAGCCACAAAAGGTCGAGGGGGGGGGGAACAGAAGAGTGATTTGCAGTTGCAAAAGAGACAGGCGCAAAGGTGGAGAAAAAGGTAAGGTGAGGTGATTACTGTGGAAGTAGTAGTGGGGTTATGGTAGTTTGTAGTGAAAAGTCAACTGCCAGTAATAAATAGATAGACTCAGTAGACACTACAACTAGAGTTTTCATTGTGTTTATTATTTAAAAATCAATCTCTTCAATATTCCACAAAGGGGGTGTGTGATAGACTTACCTCCACGTGGTGCACCCTGAGCAATGTATACTCATACGGCAGAAAAAGTCTGTAAACAGGCAGTTAACTTCTGATTTCAAACTACCATCACTCCACTGTATGTCATATTCGACTACTTTCACAATACTCACCTTACCTTTTCCTCTTTACCTTTGTGTCTGTTTGTCTCCTTCATATCCGTGAATCGCTCTTCTGTTCCCCACCCCTCGACTTTTTTTGTGACTTTATCTGCTCATCCTCTCTGTGAAGCCCGAAGTCAGCTGAAGGGTTAATGATAACTATCAAAACGCCTACCATTTGAAATAAGTAAATATTGCAACCACATTAGAAAAGAGGTAAACATTAGTTGATATTTAATATCTGCTTAGAGTTTAAGAGACAGCCTCTCCCCAATCGGGAAAGCAGCCTAGTTCAATATGCCGGAAGGGAGTAACTTTGAAAAAGATATAAGTATCNGCACCCTGAGCAATGTATACTCATACGGCAGAAAAAGTCTGTAAACAGGCAGTTAACTTCTGATTTCAAACTACCATCACTCCACTGTATGTCATATTCGACTACTTTCACAATACTCACCTTACCTTTTCCTCTTTACCTTTGTGTCTGTTTGTCTCCTTCATATCCGTGAATCGCTCTTCTGTTCCCCACCCCTCGACTTTTTTTGTGACTTTATCTGCTCATCCTCTCTGTGAAGCCCGAAGTCAGCTGAAGGGTTAATGATAACTATCAAAACGCCTACCATTTGAAATAAGTAAATATTGCAACCACATTAGAAAAGAGGTAAACATTAGTTGATATTTAATATCTGCTTAGAGTTTAAGAGACAGCCTCTCCCCAATCGGGAAAGCAGCCTAGTTCAATATGCCGGAAGGGAGTAACTTTGAAAAAGATATAAGTATCTTGAGGATTGAGATAGTGTCAAAAGTTCAGGATGCGGTAGGTTGTAATTCAGAGAGGTCTAAATGCACTTCTTGCCCTGGGTAAGGTTATTCTTCTGTGAATCCGCCAAATTAAAAGACCCCCACCACCATTTCATAAAATGAATGGAATTACAAGAAATTGTGGTATAGTGCTTTAAAAGATGCCAGTAAAATCCCTTTAAGGAAAGATATTTTTTGTGTGTGCTAATGATGCTTCGTTTTATTTGATAACGACTTATAAATTTATTTTGTATTAAAAAATTTATTTTCATCAAATGGCAGACGTTTTAATAATTATCATTAGCCCTTGAGTTGACTTCGATCTTCACAGAGCGGAGGAACATAGAAGTGAGAAAAATTTGAGAGGTGGAACAGAAGAGTGTTTCAAAGAAGTAGAAGAGACAGGCGCAAAGGTGGAGAAAAGGTAGGGTAAGATGAGTACTGTGAAAGTGATGGACTATGACATACAGTGGGAAGTAATAGTGCGTGCAGAGGGTATTTCAATTAATCAGGTTTTTAGTGTTCATTCAAACTATGACAAATAGATCCAATTACTAATCATGTCTGCTGAAAGCATAAAATCAATAAACGCAATATTCACTATACTACTGTGTCGTCTATACCATGGAGGCAGCTTAACTAATTCCATGAGCTTTACCAAACTAGATGAACATGCCGCAAATATCATAACAATATATTCCTGTTTAGTAGGCAGCATTTTAAAGATAATATATTCAATAATTGTAGGGTAGAGTTGAAGCGGAGGGTTTAATAAAACCCTACCAATGTTAAATCTGCTCAAAATTTATGTGTTTCAATATTCCCTTTTATTTGCCGCTCATTTAGATTTGTTGTGCACAATTTTTATGCAAGAAAAAAGTTATTAAACATTTAGATGTCGATAGTCATCTAACTATAATATATTTTCGTAAATAATACTTAAATATACAAAATATTTATTTACAAAACTTTAAACTGGATAAATATTTCTGAAAAATCAAGCAGAAAAGGAATTAACAGAACGTGGTTATATTCTTGTCTTATTGATAAGGACGATGTTTGAGAAGATTTATTCATTTATTTATTTCCAATGCCAGGCGTTTTGATAGATATTATTAGCCCTTTAGCTGACTTCGGGTTTCGCAGAGGGGAAGAACATCAAAGTCACAAAAGTCGAGAGAGGGAACAGAAGAGTGATTCATAGATGTAAAGTAGACAGACAAAAGTTAGAGATAAAGGTTGTTTAAGCACTGTGGAAGTAGACGAAAATGACATACCGTGGGGTCATGGCAGTTTGAAGATAGAAATCAACTGCTGGTTTATAGACTTTTTTGCCGTATGAGTGTACGTTGCCCA